GAAGGTGGGTGGCTATTCCAAGAAAAAGCAAAGAAAGAAATGGGCAATGCACTAAATGACAACCTACGTGTGTGTAGGCTAATGGCGTTTTTATTTACATAAAATAGCACTGAAAGCACACGAACGATCGGACGGTTTAAACCGGCATACGCTTTGAAGCATCTTTGTCTTGCATGGGAAGTGAGGATTACCCATACAAGGTAAACTAAACATGAGCTTAGATCATGAATATGTGTATTCGAATACATATATTTCTGGCTATAAGTAATAGTGCTTCAATATGTGTGAATAAAGGGAATGTAACGAAATTGGTGACGTGCTTCAACAATCAATAGAAGGTAATTAGGGGCAGAGTTCAATAGTGGGACAGGATATTGGTTCATTATTTTTTGTGAAACATTTGTAGTAGTAAAAAAAACCGTTTCATGTAAGTAGTCGGATGAGACTGCAATAGTGGATAAGTGAGGCACGTTTATATTTGTGTGGTATAGTACTGCATTGTGGAAGCAATCATTGTGAGCGCAAGTAGTGCATACTGTCAATTGCATGAACAGGTCTTGTGGCTTTATTTCCAGTGTGTTGGATCTACACTAGCCACAGGTGTCTTGCAATAGGACACGAATGCATGGACTGATGTTTGATCAGCACTTGCTATACAATGACATAACAGCTTGGCCACGAAGGCTTCCTTAACGCTGCTTCCTCATATACCATAGAGCATGTTCTCTATCGCAAACACTCACGGTATGAACAGTTTCAACAGCTCCTGAAACGATGCGCGGGATCGAATCGTATAGTCGACGTGTGGTTCTTCGATGTCGGGTTGCTCCAACATATGGAGTGAGCGTTAGAAGTTTTAAGCCTTGTGTTTTGATATTGTTCTTTGTGATTGTGCTTGTTGTTAACCCCAGTGCGATTCGTTTCACCCGACGAGTTTATTTCTATTCATCACGTATGAACAACTGTCATTATAATATTCACAACTCTACTTATATATTCACGCACATATCAAAAGTGCCATAAAAGACTGCAAACTGAAACTGCTCAAAAACTACCGCGTGAAGCGTTCATCGGCGGCAATTCATAACGTGGCGTCTTGTCAAGTCTGTCAAGTCTCCACTACCCGATTAGCTAACACCGTGCAACATGTCACAAACTAAAAAACGCATAAGAACTTGATGATTTCGGGGTGCGCAGAGCGTTATTATAGTACGCTCGCGCAAAGGTGACGTCATCCTAGGGGCGCCACTGGCTACGATGCCTCTAAACACTCCGCGCGCCTCCACTCCGAGGTCACCACTCGCTGGCAGTGTTGGCCGCCTGACGCTTTACATTTACTTATTATCCCTAATATAGAGCGCGCTGCCTGACTGCAAATACTCTAGAATCGCCAGCCTCCCGAGGCCTAACCGCACACGTCAACATCTCCACAAGTCACGTCCATCGCTGATAGGCATTATAATCCATCTCGCGATGTCCGTCTCTACAGCGTAATCTAAAGTTGGCGCATCCGGCCATAAGGTCCGGAGCGTGTTCAGGAGACCGAACGCTCGCGACGGCTCGCCTTCTGAACGACACTGCGCTCGCCGAGCGTTGCGCGCAAGTTTGAAAAGCTGTTCGCTCAGCGCCGCGAGTTGTTTACAAGATGGCGACGAAAAATCTGGCCGAATGGCGAATCTAACCATTTCTGACGTCAATTGCAATCTATTTCAACTTTATTTCACTTTTCATTCATTCATTTAACTTCTAAATTCAATTTGTATCAATTTCGTCTGCTAATTCGTTTAACAGTACTTGTTCTCGTCTCAGCGATTAAAATCTGCTGAGTAACCTCCATGGGGCTCCTGTAGCTTATGTCTTTATGAAGTGATCATGGGTTGTTTCTACTCTGACACCATGTAATGTCGCTCTTGCTGGGACATTCTATTAGGAACCACGCTAGCAGAGAACTACTAAGTCAGCCATGTATGTTAGGAGAGAGAGAACATGCTCTTCTGTATATTAGCGGTGGCAGCACTATACGATACATCACAGTCACAGTCTCACAGAGATGTGTGCCTGTTAGTCTGTGACATCACATCACATCTATCAGCATATAGTTTATCATTGACTATCATTCATAGTTTCAACAGACAATGTATGAATGCAATTGTCACCACATCATTGCAGATTAATACAATGCAAGAGTTGGATTCAGCTGGTATTATTGTCAAGTTAAATTTAAATATGAATGAAAGTGTCAACAGTTTCTAGTTCCACACTCTGTTGTGTAACTTTTATTATAAATTGTATTTTATTATGCGTCAGCGAGTTGATCTAGCCAGCGCCAGCTGCAGCAGATACATAAGCTGGGTTTACACTGACGATTTTCAGTTGCCAAATTGTACGAACTTGGCAGTTTGGCAACTGACAATCGCCAGTGTAAACGCAAAAGTCGCACGTCCAGCCGATCGATAGCAGCGAGTCGGAAGATTAGAACATGTTCTAATTTCCCTAACTCGGAGCAGGCGAGTTGGACGTTTTTTTGCCAAGTGGCCAATCAGACAACAGCAATCAGGGGTGTGTCCCTCCACCCTAGGGGGAGAGCACGTTTTTGCTTTAGGCGCCACGCTGGTGGCATGTAATACATGCAAAAATGCGTATCCGCGTCGCTCAGCGCACACGCTACGGGCCAAATGTTGTAACGTTTGCCACCTCGCGGTCGATAATGTAAAAGGTTTGAATATATATATATAGATAGGTTGGTGGAAAGAAGAAAAACGCCAAATTGACTGCATATAATCGTCAGTGTAAACCCAGCTTAAGCCGCTGCTGCATGTACGGTGTATAGCGCTCGCTGTACGTACGTACTTGTGTACATTTCAATTTATCAGGCCACGGGAGCGATTTTCTCTCAGGCAATCGCTCCCGTTATTGTTCTTACCAGAGCAATTTTAGAGCTTACCAGAGCGAAATCGCTCGTCGCTCCCGTGTATTTTTTTCCCTGCCGTCAAGGATGTAGATCGTATCAATGACAATGTATAATTTTTGCCCAAACTAAATAAAAGTTGAAATATAGCCAGCTGATTAATAACAAAAGTAATACTAATAGTAATAGATATCTCAAAGTGTGAATCTGTGATAAGAAGAATAAAACCAAGATAGTCAGTGTTTTTAGTTTTTGTCGCTTTTGCTCAGCCTCTGTGACAGTGTCAGTGTCAGTGACATGTCATGCGGGCCTGCGGCAACTGTAAGCGGGCTAGCCTATACAAGCTACTACAAGTACTAGAGCTATATCAGGAGTCATGAAAAGCATTCCATAACGAATAAATGATTGAATTTGAATCAGCATGCATATTTCCTTTAACTTACCTAAACACAAATATCCATTTACAAGAGGGCCTTCTACTGCGGCTAAACATATAGTTAATCCTGTTTTAACAGACCGATACTTTGTAACGGGAATAACCCCATTTGCTTTGGCAGTACACAAAATTTCCCAACAAGTTAAGGGCGCAGCCATGATGAATATTGAAAATACAGACGTTCGATGGTGCTGCTCCTGGCGAATAAAGCGTTCAACTAGGAGTCAGCTAGGAGTCGTCGTAGTGAGTGGCCTATTACTAGTAGCACTTATATTATCTTACTCCTGCTAGTAGTAGGGTTGGCCACAAATGGATTTCACGTGTTAATTCAACACATGCAATTTATTTGATCATTCGGGATCATTTTTCGCTCCCACCGTAATAGCAGGACCACAATGAAGTAGCAAGAAAAACCCCAGAGTGAAATGAAACAAAGTCTATCTCTGCTGCTGGGGACCTTTCTATCTCTGTTGCTGGGGAGCTTTCTATCTCTGCTGCTGGGGAGCTTTCTATCTCTGTTGCTGGGGAGAAGCAGATTTTAATCGCGAGAGAACAAGTACTGTTAAACGAATTAGCAGACGAAATTGATACAAATTGAATTTAGAAGTAAATGAATGAATGAAAAGTGAAATAAAGTTGAAATAGATTGCAAATTGACGTCAGAAATGTTAGATTCGCATTCGCTAGATTTTTCGTCGCCATCTTGTAAACAACTCGCGCGCTGAGCGAACAGCTTTTCAAACTTGCGCGCAAACGCTCGCGAGCGCTCGCGAGCGCAGTGTCGTTCAGAAGGCGAGCGCTCGCGAGCGTTCGGTCTCCTGAACACGCCTCGGACCTTATGGCCGGATGCGCCAACTTAGATTACGCGTGAAGACGGACATCCCGAGATGGATAATAATGCCTATCAGCCGATGGACGTGACTTGTGGAGATGTTGACGTGTGGCGGTTAGGACCTGGGAGGCTGGCGATTCTAGAGTATTTGCAGTCAGGCAGCGGCCTCTATATTAGGAATTAATAAGTAAAATGTAAAGCGTCAGGCGCCAACACTGCAGAGTGGTGACCTCTAGTGGAGGCGCGCGGAGTGTTTAGAGGCATCGTAGCCAGTGGCGCCCCTAGGATGACGTCACTTTGCGCGAGCGTACTATAAATAACGCTGCGCACCCCGAAATCATCAGTTCTTGGTTTTTAGTTGTGACATGTGCACGTGTAGCTAATCTGGTAGTGGAGACTTGACAGACTTGACAAGACGCCCACGTATGAATGCGATGAACGTTCATGGGTAGTTTTGAGCAGTTTTTCAGTTTGCAGTCTTTTATGCACTTTTGTATGTGTGCATATATAAGTAGAGTGTGAAAACTGTGAATATATAATGAAGTGTTCATACGTGATGAATAGAAATAAACCTCTCGTGTGTTAACACTGGCTTCAGACTCTGAATGTTTTTGGTCTGTACACTGGCTCTCCAAGTAGCTGTTCAGCTAGCGCGAAACGAATCGACGGGTTACAAACAACACAACACAAAGAACAATAATCAACACAAGGCTTAAAACTCTAACGCTCACTCCATATGTTTGGAGCAGCGACATCAAGAACCACACTCGACTATACAATTCGATCCCCGCATCGTTTCAGGAGCTGTTGAAACTGTTTCATACCGTGAGTGTTGGATAGAGAACATGGTCTATGTATATGGGAAGCAGGTTAAGGAAGCCTTCGTGGCCAGCTGTTGTCATTGTATAGCAAGTGTGATCAACATCAGTCCATGCATTCGTTCCTGATGCAAGACACCTGTTGGCTAGTAGATCCAACACACCCTGAAATAAAGCAAGACCTGTTCATGCAATTGACAGTATGGCACTACTTGGCTTACAATGATTGTTCCACAATGAGTATATACCACACAAATATAAAAGTTGCTCACTTATCCACTATTGCAGTCTATCCGACTACTTACATGAAACGTTTTTTTACTACTAAAAATGTTTCACAAAAATAATGAACCCAATATCCTGTCCCACTATGAACATCTGCTAATTACACTTCTATTGATTGTTAAGCACAGTCCACCAATTCGTACATTCCCTTATTCACACATTTGAAGCACTATTACTATAGCCATAAATATATGTATTCGAATACACATATTCATGATCTAGCTCATGTATTTACCTTGTATGGGTAATCCTCACTTCCCATGAAGACAAGATGTTCAAGCGTATGCGGTAAACCGTCATCGTCGTGTGCTTCAGTTGCTATTTATGTAAATAAAAACGCATTAGCTACACACACTAGTGTCATTATTGCATGCCATTCTTCTTCTTGTTTTTCTGGAATAAGCCACCACCTTCATTTATCAGCATTTGCTACTCTCTATGAAATGAGAATGATGCAGCTTAAATTATAATTAGGGAAGATGCAGGAATACTTATTGGTACAAGACTACAGATTGTCAGAATAGATAGATGAATGTATCTAAATGAAAAGTCCACCACTTATGTTAATTTCTTAATGGGTGCCAGCTAGAGGTTGTGACATCTGAACGTTTTAGAAGTGGTGACCTAGGCAAACTTTCTCACACCTACTTAAAATAGTGTAGTCTAGTAATACTAATAGTGTAAAATAATGTATTAAAAAGGCATAGAGTAAAAATTGCACATGTAATGAAAGGTAATTCTTCGAACACTGCTCATGCATGATATGCTCGATATATGATATGTATGATATACACGTCGATAGGTCGAAACTTGATCACCCATGGAATGTATTTATTTATTTAAAGACGGTACATTTGTAACAGAACATGAGCTTGCAAGCTCCTCACCATCAAGCAGGGTAAAAAATACTTTTTTTTCACCAGAGCCATTTTTCTGACTTGTCAAAAATTTACCAGAGCCATTTTTTATGTATCCAGAGCCATTTTCAGTTTCAAATTTTCGAAAAATATGTAATATAATGTACTCTTATTTTATTTGTGGGGATGTGGACATATATGTAAATTGTATGTATTATTAATTCCATGAGTGTGTCAAATTTTCTGTTAATACATGTACCTATAATTATATTTACATTACTACATATCACTAATCACACTTGTAACTCATGATCCAAACATCCTTTGAATCCATTCGCATTCACAATGCCGCCTCCGAGGCTCCGACACCTCTGACCTCTCCCATCTTCAAAGTTCTATCATAGAACCATACTACCATTCTGTCCACCACTCCCCTTCTCAGTTCTCACTCTTCTCTCTCTACATGTACACATGCTTCACTAGTCACTACTTATAGATTGCTTATTGTTTTGTTACTCTGTAATAAACATACAGTATGAACCACGTTATCTTTTCGTTTGGATGCAAATAAATGTTTTTTTATATAAAAATACCACTGTGCAGTTGTTTGTTTCTGTTTTCAGTCTCAAAATAAGAAAGTACACGGTTAATTTGTCACTGTAATGTCGCTCTTGCTGGGACATTCTATTAGGAACCACGCTAGCAGATAACTACTAAGTCAGCCATGTATGTTAGGAGAGAGAGAACATGCTCTTCTGTTTATTAGCGGTGGCAGCACTATACGATACATCACATCTCCCTTCTTAAAATAGATTTTGCACAAAAGAACAATGTTCAAACTAATTATATATATACAGATTACATAACTGATGAGTTAAATCTTGGCATATATAGTCATTTGTAGTCAGTGACTACAACGGAAAAATCAATACGAATTGAACAGTTCAATATGACGCAAGAACAATCACAGGGGTAGACTACCCTCATGTTCACACAATCGACATTATTCTGGTCGATATCATGATGCTTATGTTCTATATCTTAATGGTTTGTGAACCACACGACCACTTCTTGTAACTGTTTCACCAGCTTCCGGTGGCGGCTCATCTGACGGTGGTTGTTCGACTATGTCTGGCACAATCGGTTCATCTCGGTTGGGTTCATACCGTACATAAGCAGCTCTGTTCTTTGGTTCAAACTGCTTTTCTGCTTCTTTTGACGGTCGAATATTTATTCGATTTCTTCTGTATTTTCTACCTGTTGTGGTTTCGACAACATACGATCGTGGCTTGTCGCTTCGGTCCTTGACGGTTGCTGGTTGCCAGGTGTGCTCATTCACCTGTACCCGTACACGATCACCTGGTTGTGACGTAAATAGTGACTTTCCTGCATGTCGGTCGAAATAATCCTTCTGAACATGTTGACGCGCGATGTGTTTAGCTACTACATCCGACGTGTCTTCTGCGTGTGGATATAACAACTTATGCGACGTAGGCAGTGTTGCTCTCAACCGGCGACTCATGAGGAGCTGTGCAGGCGATTTACCAATATTGTCTACTGGCGTGTTTCTCAAATCCAGCAATGCCAAATATGGATCGTTACCTTCCTCGCGACATTTCTTGATCATCGTTTTCATGGTTTTCACTGCATTCTCCGCTTGTCCGTTCGATTGTGGAAATCGAGGACTTGATGTGATATGGCGAAAGTCCCACGTTGCTGCAAATTTCAGAAATTCTGATGATGTCAGCTGCGGACCATTATCCGACATTAGCGTGTCTGGTATGCCATGTCTTGCGAAAACCGATTTCAGTTTGTTGATAACTGTTGTACTGGTTTGATCTCTCAGTTGCATCACTTCAGAGAACTTTGAGTAATAGTCAACAACAACTATATAATCGTCTCCATTACATGTAAATAGGTCGACGCCTACTTTTGACCACGGACGATCGGGTACTGTGTGCGGCATTAACGGTTCTTTTGCGTTGTCCGTTTTGTATTTGGCACATACAGTACATTTCTCTACAGTCTCTTGAATCTGTTGACTCATGCCAGGCCAAAACAGTACATCTCTGGCTCTTTGCTTGCTTCTCACGATGCCTTGATGCGACTCGTGTATTTTCTTCAGAGTTTCAGCTCGGAGCGTTTCGGGCACGATTACTCGGTCACTTTTGAAAAGCAGCTGATCGTGGTACGCGATTTCATCTCGGAAACTCCAATATGGCTTCACTGATGCCGGACATTCATTCTTTGATTCTGGCCATCCATTTAACACGATGTCGCGCAGGGCCTGAAGACTAGCACTTTGACGAGTTGCTGTCTGAAACTGTTCTAGTTTCGCCTGTGACATCGGGAGTGAGCTGATAGTGTTCACATCAAGTAGTTCATCATATAGTGAATCATCGTGTTCGTTCAGGTAAGCTCTAGAGAGTGTATCAGCTATGAGTAACTCTTTTCCTGGCTTATATGTGACTTTCAGGTCGTAGCGTTGTAGATGTAATATCATTTTCTGGACCCTCGGTGTGAGTTGACAGAGATTTTTCTGGAAGATTGACACTAAAGGCTTGTGATCTGTTTCGACTAGAACTGTCTTGCCGTATACGTAGTCGTGGAATCGTTTGCAACCGAATACGATAGCCAAGAGTTCTTTCTCTAGTTGCGAGTAGCCATTCTTCTGTGTCGTGGTTAATGCGCGTGACGCATACGCGATCGGATGATCCTCTTGTAAGATACATCCACCTAGACCATCTTTTGAACTGTCAACCGATAGTGTGATCGGCTTACCAGACAATGTGTCTAGACAATACGCCTGTCCGCAGTGTACTGTGGAGGCGTATGTAAAATGAACGCGAGCGATAAGAGTTTCAAAGGCAAACGATGAAAGTCATATTAAATGATGAAATTTCTTCCTTTTTTGATGTATTTTATTAAAAGGGAAGGGTCGGTACGGGACGCGGGACACATGGGCAAAATACGGGACGATCCCGTACAATACGGGACGTCTGGTCACCCAGCCTGGGCTATATAAAGAATTTGGCATCATCGAAAACATATATCTGGTAAGTTTCATCATTGTAGCCTTGTATAGCTTTGTAGCATTGTAGCTTTGTAGTTGATTTTCATAGTTTAGTTTTCCAGAAGTTTGAGGGTCCACAACCAGGGGCGGATCCAGGATTTTTGAAAAGGGGGTGTCCAGGAAGAAATAAAGGGCACTTTCTCCTGCTTACTTTTTCTGGTGTTTTAAAAAGCTGCCGAAGGCCTCTTAGGTGGGGTTTGGGAGTCCTCCCCCAAGATTTTTTTTAAAAAATTGGTGCATTCTGAGAGCATCTGAGCAGTAATTATGATGTCTAGAATGCAAAAATTTATCAGACCCGGTCCCCCGGACGCCTGCGGACCCCTCTTTGCCCATTTCTAGGTTTTTATAACGAATTTACATATATATTATAAGTGGCCGTTGTTTCAGTTGAGTTCGGTCCACTGTTGTTTACAATGTGGTATAAATTGCTAAAACCACATTGTACATTTGAACCGATATCTCCCGATTTGTCATTTTTGTGAGACCAACAATTAGACACGGAATTAGTTTAATGATTAAGGTAACACTTGAGCTCAAGTTTATCGAGTTAAACACAATAAATCATAGGTAGACTAAGGCTACTAAATGTTGAATTTTGCCGGTTTCAGTCTGTCTTACTCCTATTGATAGACTCCTGATTATATTCATGGTAAATTGCCATAGGAACATCTGGAATAAGCAACGGGGTGAGTTGATTAAACAAATGTACCTGTATGCCACTTTTGCAGGAATCAACAATGTCTTTAATCAGTTTCACCTCACACGGTGCCACACCTCCAACAATGAACACAATCAACAAGGGGGCGTCCGTCGGTCTAGGTTTGCTCACGTTCATGAATAAGCTGGAAATTATACATTAGATGTTAGGTTTAGCAAACTTCTTCTGGCCAATATTAACATACTATCTCTAATTGTTAAGAGTATAACAATCGCCATGCTATTATATTTATTGCTTCACAATGTAATCACAACAATCTTAAGGATAAGCGCAACCACCATATGATAATGGAGTAATTATTTAATGGCAGTGATATCAACATGCCATCACAAGCAAAATCAGAACCACATCCATGATCCTAGCAACTGCACTTTAAGGATATATACACTCAAGCTTTTATGCGAAAGTTTATTGATTTTTCATTATCATTCTTATTCAGTGGTTAACACTAGGTGCCACCTTTGTACATGCTTATTTCTCCATATAACGACGCACGTTAACTTTCAGAGCGTTTTTACGTTTACATTCCAACTTTCGGTCGATTAGTAGAAAAGTTTATCAGCTCGTCAACTTTTCAGCAAAAAATTGAGTGTAAACCCAGCTTTATAGAGCAATACCTGTAGAAAAGCTTGAGTGTATCCTTAACCAAAAAAACCTTAGTAAAAGCTTTTTTATTTTTGACAAAAGGAACAACATAATTAACACTTTTAAATGCTAACATGAACTTCTGTGTTGCCTGAAAGCCCAGATGACATTCAATTAAGTAGCACATTATTCACATATATCATATATTGTGCCCATGTTAAAATTGATGTAGCACACTGGTTTGGTCCAACTGAATGTAAAAATATAATTATGTGCAATGAGTGCATAAAAAAATATGCAGGCCTGCATTGCAGCATGGCAGGTGATAGTTGCAATAATATATATATAGAGTATTACAAATGCATATACCTAAACCCTGTCTTGATTAAATCGCGTATTCCTGTAGATTTGCATTCAACGTCTACCAGCTCTGGCTTATCTGAACTGAAGATGTCTAGCAGGACTTGCTTGATTAATGGCCTGTAGGTTGCTGGCTGCATACCATCACCAGAGTTATATATAGACCTGCAAAGCACAGTGCAAAGTTAAAATTCAAGGTAACACAACACCTGCACAAAACCTAAGCCTAATAATGATCTAATATTCATCTTCCTCACCTCAGCACGACAAAATGCATTCAGTTTAATGTGTTAAATTGAAACAACTTTTAGTAACAACATTTAGATATACCTGCCAGCGAGTAGTTTCTGTAATAAAACATCACAAAATGTTCGTAATATTAAATAAGCCACAGATAACAAATGAAGTTCTACAATTTCAAAATATCATCATTATGAAGTCAAGTGAATGACTATAGCACCAGATGCAATACAAGTAGGCCTATGAAATTGCTATATGTTCATATAACACATAACCATCACAGTCATTGCACTAAGTACATCAGGGGTAAATCTAACCCATTTTGCCTGGGAGAATCCACGTTCAGGTTGTATTCTCCACCACCGTTAGCTACGACCCCATACAGGAGTTTTTCCATACAATTTGTAAAATCTTGTAATAAATACATAATAACTATAGTTTCATTATGGAAAAGCATTGTAAATGGAAATTATGGTCACCCAACTGTTTAGATCCCCAAATTTTAAACATTGCTGCCACAGAACTACTTTCTAAAACCTGTTCAGGTTTGATAGAGAAATTTTGTGAAAGGAGCACTCCAAATGAGTTTCAATGTATCTTTCAACAAGTATGTATAAATAAAAAATTTTGTGCACGTCCCTAACACCCCCGTCAGACCGGGGTGGCGTCCTTACTGCGCTGCTACGGCGACGAAAAATTGGCCCAGAGCGCGTCAAGGTCGCCATAAGCGTGGTATAAGCGTGGTGGAAACGCCAGACATCGCGCTGTGGTCGCCATGGTCGCCAATGATCGCCAATGATCGCCGAGTCACGGCGTTTGTTTTTAGCATGTTCAAACCAAACGCCAAGGTTCGGCGATCTGACCTGGAACGCGGTGAGAACGCGGTGGGGTCGCGAAGGTCGTGAGACAAGCGTCGTAACATCCCCATGAACGTAGTACACGCGCAGTACACGCGTGGCAAAGACGCTGCAAAAATGGTAACATTTACAACAGCGACTTCATGGATCTGTCTCATCCGATCTGCCAATTTGTTTCATGCCGATCTGTCTCGGCCACCACGGCCTCGGCCTCTGGTAGCTTGTTTCTTCGGCATCGTGTTTCTACTCAGCAAACGCACAACTATACAGTTGAAATTTCTGAAAATCTGACCAGCTTATATAGTCGCCGTGAGAACGTGGTAGAAACGCTGTGAGGTCGCCGTGCAGTCGCGATACACGTAGAAGACGCGTGGTATGAACCCCATGAGCGTGGTGAGAGCGCTGCGGGATCGCCGGTGATCGCCGTTGCCAAGCCCATAGATCTTAATAGAAACGCCATAAGCGCGGAGAGGTCGTGGCGGGCGCGCCGTGAGAACGCGGTATGATCGCACAGGTTGCGGTAAGAGCGCGGTTTTTGTCAAGTTTGTAATTTGTTGGGACTTTTTCTCGCGTTGTGTTCACGTTTGCCGGCGACCTTGTACATTTTCTGGTCGCCGTACGGTCGCGGATGGTCGCCGTCCAGTCTGCCGGGGGTGTACGCATACACTCAGGGTTCGAAACAAGCATTTCCATTCAAGCATATGTATTTTACTTACTGATAGAGCTTATTACAGAACAATTTCATTGCTCATTGAATGGACAGGGTGGTCCACAACTTAAAATTCAAACATGTACAACTGGGAACTTTAGAGGAGTACTTTAGATATTATTTGAAATTATGTGTGCGCTGCGCACATCACGAGAACGAACCACGACGTCACTTGCGGCCGGGGTCCAGGGAATAGGGGCCCGCCTTAGGGCCCTGGAAGCCCAGGGGTTTTAGATGCTCTCTGGTGCAATCTGAGCATTATTTTAGAGCAATTTTGCACAAAATTTATGACCTATATTTCAAAATGATTTGGGTTGAGTCAAGAGTCATGAGTGATGAGTAATTTTTTATTGTTCAATTTGTATACTAGTGTGAATGTAACCTGTAAAATGTTATAAAGCAATGTGCGAAAAATGCAAATAAATATACTATAAGGTGAAACTATATTTCGCGATATTTAATTCAGAGTGAGCGCCGTTACTGAGTAGAAAATCAAATATTGTAATAAAGGCTTTAAATTCCCAGTTTCCTTTTCCTAATTGCTGCCCAGGGATCTGCTGCCTCATGGAAGGGGAAGTCCTGAGCTGATGGGCCTTCCACAGACACCATCATAAGTGCATTTACTTTGTTCTGATTCAGTCTTAATTAGAAGTCTAGTTAGAAGGAATCTGATGAAATAGCTAGGCTGGTTATTGTGAGCTGTTTTTTATTCATATCGGATTGCGAAGCGCTATGATATGAGGCTCATGACAAGTGAAAGTCGGACAAGTTATTCGTTTGGCTAGTTGCCCGATTGGACAACTAAAAAATGTCTAGCTGTGTAATATTCCTAACATCCTTTAAGGCAGGGCGCTATCGCACGACATTCTCACATTATATTTTCAAAGGTCGCCGAAAAAAGCGGCCTGCATCGCAAGGCACGGGTCTGTGGCTGTGCACATCGACACTGCGTACGTGCCTGCTGGCGGCATTAATTGAAGTACGGGGGGAGAGGCGCACGATTGTTTCAGTCGCGTGGTGGTAATCACTACTAAAATGTAGGGGGTGGGCACCGCTGGGCTATGAGAGAGAGCGACAGCAAAACTCGTTCCTGGAATTGAAGAAAAAGGTACAATCGGGAATGACACACGATCGAGTGTGCCGGCACGCAAAAATAAACGTGTGAATTTCATTACAATTTTCCATGGCTTACCGTTCTATAATCCTATGGGTCTACGTAGGCATGCCCGCAGGTACACACGCAGACGCACACACACAGGCACGGACACACAGGCACGCGCACAGGCACGCACGCAGGCACGCGCACAGGCACGCACGCAGGCACGGACACACAGGCACGCGCACAGGCACGCACGCACGCATGAATCAGAAGACGTAGACGCACTGTATGATTCGACTGCGCGACAAGTGGGAGCCCATGTACAGAGTAAAACAGTGTAATAGACTGTAATAGTGTATGCTACAAGAGTGCGCTGCGACTACGCGTGCGTCGTCCCGTTCGACAGTGCAGTGCAGTTGCATTTTGCTTTGTTTGTGTTGTTTCTTGCTTTGATATTTCAAACCTGTCGCCCTGAAATCCAAACCTGTCGGCAATTTTCAAACCTGTCGGCCCAAAACTCAAACCTGTCGGCCTTAGATGTTAAAACCCCTCGTGGACCACAATGGAATCGAATACATTCTATATCAAACCTTTGACTCACCTGTACTGCTTTAGACCCTTTCGAGCTGATTGAAGGCTGTCCAGCTTATGAAACAAGCCCTGCATTGCAGCCAGCACTGATATACCACCACGGGTACCACCAACTGCAAAGATGAAGTACTTCATTATCTTATTGCTGCCCAAAATTAAGCAACTTCATTACAGACTGTTGTAGCATGCGACCATAAGTACACTTTTATTTTCTTACAGCATTGAATACATTTTTTATAATAAATAAAATTACAATAAATGTATTTGAAATTCATACATTTCATTACATTCATACCAAACTCCTGCAGGTAAGTTGGCAACGAATCATAATCCTCCGAGACGGCATCAGAGAGCAGAGGAATCAGTTCCTTTTCATCCTCTGTGTTTGCCAAACATCCTTCATCACTCAGTGAATACAGAAACACTAACAGTACAACAATGTCCTCCATAGACAGCTTTCTGAAAGAGAAGTGAGGAAATGTTTCTAAAATGCACAGATTTCAGACACACACAGCCTGTTGGGCAATAATACCAAATGTCAATTTAAGCACACTCTCTTCTTACATGTTCATTACGAGAAGTCATTGTAATTCTTTTTTTAAAATGATTTTTATTGAAGTGTTTAATTAATAATTAATAGACCAGCCAACCTGTGATTCATGAAAATAGTAAGGATTTTATTTTCTTGCAGCAGGCGGCCATTTTGTTTGTATGTTATGCGTGCAATGAATGATGGGACTAACTCTAGATCACGCGAAAACAACGTGAACGCGTGATCCAATATGGCTGCGCCCACAATCGCCAGATATTTCTCGGCTCACAATGTAAAAAACATTAATTTTCACAAGTCGTAAAAGTTTTTCAGTTTGATCGTACATTCATAGAAACATCATGGAATTCGTAAGGAATACAAAAAAATCGTAAGAGTTGGCCAGGTCTGAATTAATAATTAAATTGTAAAAACAAAAACGTAATAATGCACTGCCATGACCTGGAGATGCTTCACCTGGCTTTTCTGTCTGTAATCAGGCGTGACATTTGTTTTAGCGGTTGAATTCCTTCACTGTCAGCCATATTCTGCATCAATAGTTTCTCTATACTGAGAAGTTCCTCCATCTTACTACTCTTTGGCTCAGTCAATGCCTGTACTGCTCCCAGTGCTACCTGAAGCAAGCCGCTGTGACGCTGAATAGCAAGCTGATTGCCCCTGTGCATAAGTAGAGAGTGATTATTTTTGATGTGTAGATTAATGCAACATTTAGTTCCATCTTGTTAGCAGCAAAATCCGCAGCTTGTCTCATACGTGCTGTAAACGACAGCCCAGAAACCACACAATTACCTGTTAAATACGTAGTACCTCTCCATTTGAACACAGGTTAAACGACATGTGCTGGGCATTAATCCTTTCAGTAAACAGATATTAGAGGTTTGAGTTTGTGTTACCAATCAGCTTGCACATAAATCCACCTGTTGATGCTGGATGTACTGTTTACAGTCTACCTACCTAAACTTGCACAGATGCCCCTGAAGTAGATCTGCAGAGATGCGACCCATTTTCAGCTGCAACGGCAGTTTCTCTCTTTGCAGCACGTCCACTAGTTGTCTATTTAGATCCATCAGTGCCTCCTGCAAAATTTACACACTACAATATCCACTGATTACAATGTAGTGATCACGAGTCAAAACTAAATCTAAAGTCAATATCAGAATAGAATTTAAAAGCAGAGGCTTACACGATTTATGACACTTAGAAAGCAAAAATGCTCGAATGATGTTGCTCTATTATGTACTACAGTATCTGATATTGAAGGGTGCTTGTTATCAGAAAGGTCCACACGATTCATATGCAGAGATGTACCTGGACGCAATGAAGTGACAACACACCTTTTGTTTGCAACCAACCAGGTTGCTCATCATGGCAGTGGTAACGGGAGAATTGGGATGGGCCAGAGAACCGGGCACTAACCTGCAATGCTTTACCACCCTGCAAATTAATTTGATGTTAAAACAAGCTCAGTATGGCTTTTATTAATGCTGACATGCAGTGATCAGTCAGAAACACATAAACCATCAACTTGTATCTTAGTAACCAAGAGAGTACTAGCTATTAATGGATTACTACTGTAAATAATGCTATCAATACTATGAAGCATAAAAAATGCAATCAGAACTTCAAGGAAGGGACATTTATTCAATTCCGACTTACTTGTCTGTATAAAGCATGGGCAACATATCAACCATAACATCATTGTCATGACCTGGTAACCGTGGCAACATCTGCAGAATACGATCCAGCATAGTATCGCCGTGGTGACCAGCACAGCCGGCCAAATCCAGTGTGCGATCTACGAACAGGATTGATGCTCTTTTCTGCGCAATCTACATTGAATGATAAAGGAACAATCATTACCATGACCATACTGTTGTTGTAGATGATATCAAGATATATCACACTAATAATGACTAACAGTAACATGACAAGGCCTAAGAAAAAAAGATGTTTGTTTCCGCTAACGAGCTAAAAAAAATTTGGACACGGTAGGCAGGCAAAACATTTTTTTTTATCAAATATTATTTTTTGTATTCTAACAATACTTCTTTTATACTTATAATAGCCCATATAATGACTTCAAAGTCAAATCAATGCATTCAACCGATCGATATCACGTTGGTTTATTTTGTTTGTTTTTTAAATATTTATTTTTTTTTTGCCGATCACAATAAAAAGTTTCGACACAGGGGTTTAAACTGGACTCGGTCACGTTAGCGGAACAAACCTCTTTTTTTTAGGCCCAAATGATTACCTTCTTCCTATTTCTGGCCGATGGAGTTGCAGCTAGCTCTGTTGCTATGAGGGAACTAGTGCTACCGATGCTATAGCAGTCATCACGTATTGCAAGATCTTCAAACAATTTGTCGAAGCATTCAACAAATAACTGCAAAATATACATTTATAAATGAATCATTCAGCAATACATCAGTGTGATCACCATCTGCTTTCTCTGCATTTACATCTGCCCATTCATACAAATCTTTACTACCATTTTTCTTTGTATATGCCCACATGTTTCTGTTACCATATATTCACTTTTCAATTATAAATGAAATACAAACAAATTGGGCACTGGCATTACACCGTCTAACTTGTGCTGCCCCCTGTGAAGATACATCTGAACTAATCAAAAGCACTATTATATTAATAACTAACTAGTGTATCTCTGAACAACTCCCTGTTTAAGACATACATACACACATGCATAATCTCACTGAACCATAGGGTACAACATAAAAAATCGTGATCCTGCTTTTTTTAAATTAAACCACAAATGCTCTGTCTGTTGTGAGAAGGTTAAACATCGACTCTGCTGACGCAGTACTAACAGTGGTGCTGCTAGGGTTGTAAGCAAATTATCAGCAGCTGTAAGTGTGTTTTATGTATTTGTGTGCATATGCTAATGCACATGTGAAAACATCCGCCCAGTACCTGTATTTTAGCCTGTAGGTTGTGGTGAAGATGGGTAATATCAAACTCCTTTAGATTTGGTTTCTGTGGTAACAAAAATAGACATGAAAATGTAATAGATTAATGTATTAAAAAAAGAATACATCTACGTGTATTATTTCACTTCTGGACAATAAAACACACCCGAAGTTTATGTTGCATAAGGTAACCAGACCCTGTCTCACCTTTCCAGATGGCATGCCTTCACTAGACTGCATAGTGCTGACATCTTCAGGCAAAAGTGGGAAAAACTCAGAGAAGGGTGGTGTGACAAACAATTGCGGCGTAATACTTGCACAGAACACTGGGCAATATATGACCTCAGCAGTATAATTCTGAAATTAAACACAATACCAAACATTTAATGTAGAGTTAACAAAAGAGCTATACACACAATAACAAAAGAGCTATACATACAACTTCACAACAAATGTACAATACCATACAACAACAAGTGCCGCGGAGCGACAGCGCTCATCTAACGTCTACTGCGGTGACTCTGTGGTGGAGTGGTGGGATTCTAGTAAACTCTGTTAGTCCCAAATGTGTTCACATACACGCCGAAACAGTGGAAGGCACAGGGATGGTATCAGGAACCTTCTCAAAGGAATGTTCGTTGGGATCGTTATGAAAGTTGCCACGAGTTGGCGCGTACGTTTAAGTGCCTTCAGATTAAAGATGGAAGCTCCCATCGTACGTAGTAGTAATAACTATTCGCAAGCCTACAGGCTGAAATAGAGAGCTGCCACCTGTAACTAATTAACGCAGGCAAAAACTACACAGTACTACCACCACATGCACTAGCACTGGCAGTGGCCACTGGCAGTGGCATACGTTACATGTAACACACTGACAGTACAGAATGCCCTAGAAATTATACGATTTAAGGAGCATAAACCCTCTTCAACCAAATTTAGCTTTTGAAATTTCACTGTGACATTGTAGCCTCATACATCCAGGCATGTATAGATTCTACTAGCAAACCCGGCAGTCAAATTCTTTCTAACAGTAAAGAAATCCATGTTTAACCCGCCTCTTGAGGGTCAAAAGGTTATCCGACACTTACTGTTCGCATGTCAGCACAAATTACATTTCATGGTCCTTTCAATAAAGCCATAAAAATGCTAGGTCACTGCTGAAACAAAAAAGTTTTTCAATCACTCCATCAGACCATGTCCTCAGAAAATGTCTAAAATCTGCCCTGTGCCCCATTGACCTTTGACCTGTGACCTCCAATTTCGGCACAGTGATGGCTTTTCCTACCATGATGCTGTACACCGACTATCACGAGCCGTTTAGATTTGTGCCGCAATTCTGCATTTCCTCCCTATACCTTAAGTTATGGAGGGAATGTTCCCCCTTCTTTTACACCTCTTGACCTTTGACCTTTGGCCCCCAGCGTCGACATCCCAACTCGTTTTGACTCCCCCCCCGACGTCCCGAATATCGTGACCGTACGTCAAGCGGTTAAGATTTGTGCCCAACTGTTGACGCACGGACGGACGGACGCACGGCCAGACGGACGCACGCTCATGCGATTCTACAAGCTGCATCTGACTATGTCAGATGAGCTAACAATTAAGAGCCGCAGAGCGTCTGGGCTCATATGAGGTCTGTTGCTACGGTTATAAACGTAACATTTAAATTGTGCGTAGTGACACCTTTGTTAGGCGCAGATATGCAGATACGCAGTTGCGTACACATCATTTCAGCAACCTTCTGCTAAAAACTATAACAATTAACAAATAAAATACTAGCTAACAATAGTATAGATTTGTACAAATATTAAAGATTTAATTTTACTGTTTACAGTTTTACTGATATTAAGTAGCTCAGACCTGTTTAACCGTGACTCTAGTGATAAACTATATACTAACCATGTTCCCCATCCATTCTAGAAGATTCTCCTCAAATTTATCATAAAAAGATGTCTCCTGCGTCTGGACACCATACTTTTCATGCCACTGAAACTATTATTATTATTATTATTATTATTTAGCTGAAAAGCAGATGGCACCTCCCAACAGAGGAACCATTTATTCATAAATCTTGTGCAATGCCCTCAGATCAACTTGTATGACTAATATGGGCAACAGATTTATATAAAAAATATTGCATATATTAATTTTATACAACCTGCATTTCACATTACAATCGCGACCTTTATCAAAAACGCCTGTCTTCTAGACTGGAGGCATATTGTTAGAAAATTTCCATTTATAATATGAAACCATGACATAACCTTTATATTATGCAACATTATGTACCCGCTAATGTAAAAGTAGGCCAGCAGGATCATGCATACCTGTGCAGAAGCAAGGGTAATTACGATGCAACACTTGAAGGAGCTGGATTGCACTATGTCAGAGATAACCTGTGCAGTGACTTCACGCAGCAGTCGACCTACAATAAACACGGCCTTTTCCTGCAGCTTTCCTCCACTCTGTAGAGATAAATCAAATTCAGTATTTCTGTTTAGTGCAGGATGCTAGACATAGGATGCAATAATAAAAGTTACTTCTCAAAGTCACTCAAGATTATATATTGCACAATGGCTATGCAACTTTCACATTTGATCAGATTTGTTTGTAAGGAATCATTCATAAGAACACAATACATTTATTCACATGTGCCAAACAATCAAAATTAGGTTACGCAAAAAAAAACTATACTATCAATTACATTTCCACGCCCACATACTTCAAATGATGATAGCTCCTTGATGTTAATCGCACCCGCATCCAGTAAGCGCACTACTCCACCAGACCAATGCAAGCACTCCGCACTTGACCGGTCAACAAACACTACTGCTCGGTCCACCTTTGCACAGATTGTCTCCCATGTACTGTTTATGAATTCCGAGACTGGGCTTGCTAATCGACTCATGATTGTAAAAATGAGTACAATGTGCTTTGCCTGAAGCAGACATACAAGGTGTTAAAGGGATACATTTCTCTAGGTTATTCAGATATTTTCAGCTAAGATAGGTTAAAATTACGCTTCATAAAAAGATTTATGGTTCAATATTTATTAGAAATATTTTTAATAAATAGGCTGCAGGCTACAGACCGAGAGTGTTTCTTATTTATTAAGTTAAGAGCAGAAGGATTGCAATATCTTATAAACGACACTTAGTTTCAGTTATAATATTAGTCTGGCAGAAAAGATGGCATTTTTGCTTGAACCTTGCAATTGGGTATATAGTTTTTTTTATTGCTCTAAAAGTTTGCCTTCATAGTCTACTTCAATGATCCACCAACTGTCACTCTGGCAGTGGTGGGGAATTTACTCTACACACCCTTTATTTAATACTAGCTGCAGGTACCCGCTGCGCTGCAAAATCGTGCTACTAATTCATACCACTAATAATCGGACACAATAGGAACATTGGGTAAAAATGGAGAATAACATTGCACACAATTTCAATATTTACAAATCAGTCTAATAAGATAATAAGCATGGTAAAAAACTGTTACGTATGACATTTATATCACAGCACAAGTCAACCCAACCACCCCAAAATCCACGGTTTGTACGTACTCGCGATAAATTTCCCTCGTCTGAACGACCACGTATGGCTATAGCCTATACTCAGGTTTCGAAATTGCCGTATCCACTATCCTGACAAAATGAGTGCGTTCCTCGTACCTCGTATCGCTATACGCGTAGTAGCGGACGTGTGAACCGGAACCAGGCCTAATAGGATACATACCGTATACCGCATCACGCTTTGTGGGCGAGAGAGAGAGAGAGAATGGAGGAGACGAGAGAGAGAGACGGAGAGAGAGAGAACTGGATGAGAGAAGAGAGAGAGAGCGAGAGGAGAGAGAGAGAGAGAAGAGAGAGAGAGGCAAGAGAGAGAGAGAGAGAGGAGATGAGCAAGAGAGAGAGAGAGAGACGAAAGAGGAGACGCATTAGAAATAGAAGAGAGGGGACTGAGAGGGGGGAGACACAGATCTAGAGGGAGACTAGACCAGGCGAGGAGAGAGAGAGAGAGGAGAGAGAGAGAGAGGAGAGAGAGAGCAGAGAAGAGCGGAGAAGGGGAAGAAGCATAGAGAGTAGGGAGAGAGAGTGGGAGAGCCGAGAGAGCGAGAGAGGAGAGAGAGAGAGCAAGAGAGAGAGAAGAGAGAGAGAGAGAGAGAGAGGAGAGAGAGAAGACGAAGAGAGACAGAGACACCACGACCAGAGACAGAGACAGAGACAGAGACAGAGACAGAGATCAGAGACAGAGAAAGATGAGACGAGAGAGACGAGAGAGACGAGAGAGAAGCAGAGAGAGAGAGAGAGACGAGAACGAGAGGGCGTGCGCAAACACCAGAGAGTGGACACAGAAGAGCAGAAAGAGAGTGATAGGCAAGAAAAAGAGCACAGGCCCTATAACCGCGGGGGCAGTTTGCGCGAAATCTTATGTTCTCTTCGCCCTACTGCGCCAGCTATAAGCGACGGGTACCATACATTCCAAAACTACGTTGTGAGACGGCTGTTTAACTCAAGGGTCAGTTCTTAGCCGCGTACTCATACGGAAGTCCCGTAAGATACGCGTTACGAAATCGGGTGTTAGAACCCCGCAGTGTGAAGACATAATAGTAATTGTGTAAGATGACAAAAAGTATTACTAACAGCATGTAACGCGAATGGGGTTGCACTTTTCATTGTCAAAGCCCTCATTGATAAACAATCAGCTTTTCGTCTTATGTCCTCTTGGTTGCAAATATTAGGAGAATTCCTGGCGTTCCAACTGTTGAGCTCCCACGTAGGCAGCCTGTCCGTAGGAGAAGCAGGACTGTACCGAGGTGCAGACCGAGCGACAATACAGCGTCTGGCCCTCGGAGCTTTTGTGATGCTCATGGCGAAGCGTAGTTTGATGAGGAATTGTAATTATTTGTGCAGGATGATTGTAGCATTTGTGACACTGGAGTAGTACTGGGAGGAACGACCCATCCCACGAGACGTTAGTCATTAGGCTCGGCAAGATTGAAGTGCGCTGTAGAGATTGTCTCCATATCCGGCTTAGGTAATTCAGAGAACAAGACGCTCAAGCAGCAAGACCATGAAGCAAGCAGACACAATCGTCACAGGCACAGCGATATATGAGGCGCACAAAAAGAGACGAGGAGTCAATTGTTCGAGCAGTGACACAGATGTGTACGTTCTAGTTGGCGCTACGCATTCCTCGAATAGAGGCTTAACAGCCCTATGATAACCAGTCGAGCAAGGAAAGGCAGAGGCTGTTTGCTGGATCTTGAGTGGCTACAGGCTGCATTAAAGTTTCCAGTATCATTCCCCCAATGTTAGCCGAGCCCATGCCCTTGACCAGGTTGCGACCAGCTGTTCCCATGTGGCCACTCACGGGATCGGAAGGGCAAGATGTTGAAACTCTTTGAGGAGGGATAATGCAGGCTTGAGCCTCCTTGGGAAGTCAGACTGGCTTGCACTTTGAATGAATGTGTTGCTCCACGTCCACAGCTTTTGGTCTCAGCATCGCCTACAACATGCATAGATGCAACATGCATCGACCTGAGTCAAGAATTAAAGCTTGGAAACAAACAAGACAGGTCGACAAAGGAGCAGACAGGTTACCAAGCCCGGAAGGCTTGTGCACGTCCGCTCACGCGCAGGACGCACCAATGAAGCATTCAAAAAAATATCAAAAGAGCACACTATCAGTGCTGCATCTGGAGACATCGCCTACAAGAGCATCCGACACCTTGATCCCACGGAATATGGCTGGGTAAGGGATGAGGAAACTAGTCCTACAGCCTGTCACTCTCCCTGTTATGACTCCCCCAGCACCAGGTTACATACTCAAGCTCATCAAGTGTTCTTGTTTTACGGAGAGTCCATGCAAGTCCAAGGGCTGTGGTTGTAACATTGGTAGACTGGCGTGTACAATGTTTTGCAATTGTCAGGGCAGTGCTGCATGTTGTACTTGTAATGAACAAACTAGAGTCGTCCAACACGAAGCCTTTGATGACGAGGAAGAGGAGGAGGAGGACGATTAAAGCCAACTGATTTTGTTTTGAAATTGTACCAAAAAATGTAAATTGTAGGTAACCTATAAAACTCATTTTCGTGGATTTTGCATGTTTAACATAGGAGAGGGTTTAACGGTAAACCAATTTTCATGCCTAATCACAGACGTTTATGATTGTATAGTCTACAACTATTTCAAAATGTCAAATGCATCTGTAAATGATGGTATAATATAATTTTTACATGCATTGACATCTCATTATTGGACACTAGGCTCAGTTGTGGGGAATTTTATTTAATGTAGATTTATTCAAAGCCGCATCATAAACAATTGAATTTGGATTAAATAAAGCAACTGCCAGTTGTTAGAAATGCCTTATTTGGTGCAAGAACATAAGAAAACGAACGTAAGAAAAACTATATACCGCCATGCAAACCATATGCCCTATTCTGCCGGACTATATGGGTAAATTTGTCCTAAAATAAATATCGTTCGTTAGCATTTAGGTATAAATATAATTGCACTTTTGTGATTAGCCCTCAGTCTGTAACGTGCAAAATAAATTGGCAAATGCGCAACTTTTTCATGGTGGCAGCACGGTCGCGGGTGTCATGTCAGCACCCAAAAATGAAGATTTCGAAATTCAATGTTGTTTTATGACAAACGTGAATGCGTAATTATAGATATTTATAGGTATTTGCTATTAGTTATAATTCTACTATCATAATATACTCTCAAATTCTAGAGTAAAGTATCCCTTTAAAAACACAATCTCTCAGAAGAAAGGGCGAAGTAGTGATGCAATGATGCAACCACATGGGTGACCACATACTGATCGACATAGTAACTACAGACAGTGCCGAACAATTTACATCTATTTCAGATCTATGCTCAGCCAACATCAATTTTAAAATACGTAACCCTCTCTCTTGATTCCGGTGCCTTGACGCCAAATTTGGATACTGCAATGTACTACTAGTGTGGAGATTTCGGGGGTGTGTAACTCACAGGAGCAGTAGACTAGATCAGGAGGGATAGATTGAACCCACAGTATAGATGGAATAACCATATTTTGACTAAAGAGAGGATAAAATATAGACCGCACATAAATATATCAACGATCAACATGCATCTTGGATCATACATACGGAGGTGGTCTAGGGAAAACAAGGAATGTAAACAAGCACCCGATATATAGAGTATGATAATCAACGCGGTTATGTACTATTAGTCAGCATAATATACGAGGAGGTTTGGATAGAATGAATAGTCTAAGTTGTCGAAGAGAGGAATATTTACTTAGAAACGAGTTGCATAAGATGATGCAATCATCGTACCAGCCACGGGTTGCGTCAGCTTGGTGAAAGCGATTGCACCAGCGAACGAAATCTGCGTGCCAGCTAGGTATATAAGGCGCACCGAATCGCAGCACAAGAGCGTTATTTTTCAGGTTAGGTTCAGGTAGGAAGAAGAAGAGAAAGAAGGAGAAGAAGAGAGCGTTATTTTTCAGGCTAGGTAGGAAGAAGAAGAGAAAGAGGAAGAGAGCGTTATTTTTCAGGCTAGGTAGGAAGCAGAAGAAGAGAAAGAAGGAGAGAGCGTTATTTTTCAGGTCTAGGTAGGAAGAAGAAGAAGAAGAAGAAGAGAAAGAGGGAGAAAGCATTTTAGGTACCAAGGAGAGAGATAACAGAGGGACGAGAAGCACGGGTTTTCAGGAAGGAAAGAAGACTACAGGGAAAATGAGGGCTCAGCCAAGATCTTTCACTAAAGGTGGAGAAGAACGGGATTTCAGTTAGGTAGAGCCAGGAGCGACTACGAGGGAGACATCCGTGGAGGCTGCCTAGGTCTACGCAAAGCGGGGACGAACGTGAGAGAGGAAGACGAAGCCGGCGACGCATTAATGCTGTAATATTAGACGAGATAGATACAGGATCTGCTGCATAT